TGTGCAGATTGGACTCACCTGGTTCAGTGGCTGGGTAGAACAAATGCATGACAAAGACATGACTTGTTGACTCCAGATCCCCCATCTCTGCCCTACCCGCTCCTTTCCATATGCCATGTAAATGGTGTAAATCAGTCAGGCTGGTCAGGCTACAACACTGCACTGTTCCAAAACTAAAGAGTCTCTGTTTGTGTTTTTGAATCCGATAGTAGATCACCTTGGACCAGTAGAATGAGAAGTCGTGGTGAAGAGATGGGGGATGTGGTGCCATCAAGTCATCTCTATAACATGTATTTGTTCTACCCAGCTACTAAACCAGGTGAGTCCAATCTGCAGTGTGAATTAACCTGTGCAGATTGGACTCACCTGGTTCAGTGGCTGGGTAGAATAAATATATGATATAGAGATGACTTGTTAACTCCAGATCCCCCATCTCTGTCTTTGTGTTACTCGTAAGGACAAGGCCAGATTCTTCCCTCTATATTTCGTTTAACAGACAACCAGAAATGTGTCTGATCTCATCATTTTTATCCCTGCGTTGTGGTCTAACAACTTTTAGGTTATTAGCTCTTATCTTTAAGGGGAGCTCAAACTGCTGTAAAGCAGAGCTGTGGTTCTCATTCAGTGATCGATCTGACTCTCAAATTTACACCAGCCAGTTTTTTTGAGAAAAAAAACCTGCAAGGAGCATCAACCTGAAAAATCCTTTCATATTCAAATAAAGCTACTAATTGGGTGAAATGGTACGCAGTGTTGAATTAAATACATCACAGTTTTGAATTAGCAAAATATTTAATTGAAATCACATCAGAACTTTTCCTCCTCATTTATTTATTTATCATTTTGACATATAAAAATCTGCACCATAGGAGTATAAGCAGCCTGTTTTCTATGGAAACTTTGTAAACTTTCAAGCTTCAGGACTATCTCACATAGAGAGACAGAAGCCTGTAGCCACCATTGAAGACACATACATGTTGCTAAGCAACATGTATGTGTTGCTTAGCAACATGTATGTGTGAGACTATAATTTTGGGACAGCAAGGGCGGCTCAGAAGCAGCTTTTGTGTAAAAAAAAATTGCCTGAAATTCTACAAAAGTAAAAATTTGAAACTGCAGTTAAATGGTGCAGCTATTCTGTTTGATGAAACCTCCTTCAGATTGTTTGGGACATCTGGAGAACAAAGATGTAAAAGCAACCACGCTGTAAGTGGATTTCTGTCTGAGAGATTTACATTGATAAATTGGCGTTTAAAAGCGTCCTGAAAGAGCATTGTCTTCTGACATTTCAAGAGCTGTTTGATCAGTAGGTTTTAAAACTCGTGTCACAGAGAAAAGACAATGAAGTGAAAAAAAATGGACAAATAACAGAATCCCTGAAGAATCCCTGGTCTTACTAAGAGACTAGCTTGCTACCAGTGAGGATGAAATGTTCAGATTCAGGTCTGATGCTAAAAATGAGTCAATTGTGGAAGAATAACCACAATGAGATGGTAGAACCCTGAGGTAGAGTTGCTAAACCCCAACTAAAGCCTATAAACTGTTCTAAACTGCTGGGAAAAGGACGGTTCTGCGTGTCACACCAGCATTCTGAGACCATTTATGGACTTCCCTCTAATTCAGATCTAAAAACTCAGATTGTTGGACAAAGAGCAGCTTTGTTTAACAATCCAGGAACACCTTAATGTTGAACAAAGCTCCTCCTGCTAGATGGAGCAGTGGGTCTGCTGCTTAAAGATATAACTAATCAACATATAATTTAAGATTACCCTGCATGAAGTCAAACCATCTCTCAATAACAGCAGCCCACTGAACAACAACATGACAGATTAAAAACAACTCAAACAGAAAATTAATTTTGAAATGTAAAAAAAAAAAAAAACATTTCTGTGAATGAGTTTTTTTTTTTTTAAAGAATAACCTCAACAGTTTGGCAGAGATTTAATGAACAAAGGTACCAAAAATGAAGATCTGCTGCATCCTTTGGTCTGCTGAAGTCTGGAGGAAAATCTTTTATTCTGTGGTTAAAATGTGACCGTTTGTGAACATCTTTCCCTGATAACATCTGGTTTCATTTCTGCAAAGCCTGCCTGTGCTATTAATTGACGTTTATTTCATTTAAAGAAGAAATTTATGCATTTTTTAGCTCTAAAAAAAAATCTGGGTTTGATTGGATCGGCTCCACAGGTGTGAGCAGCCCAGCCTGAGTCGCTGAACCGGGACACTGACAGGTGGAATCAGCCCTAATGGGACAGGTGTTTGTCGTATCCATGGCAACGAGTCGCTAAGATTTAGCCCCCACTTTATCTTAGCTTCGTTCCCATCGTCTAAAAATGAAACAAATATCGGTCCAAAATGGGACAAACGCTCCTAAACACAAAGAGACAGAAAGGGGAAGGAGCACCAACCGTCGCCTTGATGGGGACGTACAGCACCGGCGGTCCATCCGATGACGCTCCGCTCCGGCCCACCTGGAAGCCCTTCGACCTCACCCAGAATTTAAATTTGGCGTTGATGTGGTGGCCGCCCGCCTCCCTCTCCTGGAGGAGCGCTCCTCCGCCGTCCTCCTCGCCGTCCTGCAGCAACGTCTGCAGGATTTTGTTGTACTTGCGCCGGGTCACGGTCTTGGTCTTTCCAGAGTCTCCGTAGGTTTTCAGGCACCAGTCCCGGAATTCTCCCACCATCTCCGCCAGCTCAGCCGGAACCCCGGCGGGACTCTGGATGCTCTGCTGGGTCGGGCTCTGGCTCTGCAGCTTGCTGTTGGTGGTGGAGATGGGAACCACGTCTCCAGCAGCCCCGGCGGCTTTTCTCGTTGTCATAATGAAAAATGAGAACTGACCCACTTTACCGTGTTGGGAAATGTCTTAGAAATTGGTTGGAATCTGACTTAAACGCAGTGGGAATCAGTAGAAAAGGCTCAGAACTATAGAATAAAAAAAGGTCTAAGCCGTGAAATTGTCCCGACAATCATCGTCAGAAATTGATTCAATTTACAAAGAAAAATGAGCCATAATTTGGACCCAACCGCCTCCTCCTTCCTCCTCCTCCTCCTCCTCCTCCTCCTCCTCTCTGCTATTTACGCACCAGCTGCGAATAAAGCAGAGAAGCCAAAAATCTCTCTTCGGGTTCCCTCAGCTGAACTCCTTGGCCCAGAAGTCTCGGTCCGGTTCGGACCCTCCAAATGGAGCAGGAAGAAAGCGGAACCGGGACAAACCGGGGCGGTTGAGCCGCGCGTGCCCCTCAGACACACCTGTTAGCCGCGCGGGTCGCTCGGCCTGTCCCGTGGGGTATGTCACTCAGCGCCTCCCCCTTCGTCCACAACCAGGAGCCTCTTCCTCCTTTTGAGGGAGAAATGAAATGAGGAAGACGCGCGTTTCGGTTATCACCCCTTTTCCTCTCTTACTAGAGAAGAAAAACCCATCAGAATATTCGGTCCAGTTTCCCCGTCCTCCTCCAGCTGATGGCAGACACCTGTTAGACTCCCGCTGCTGCGCTGCGTTATTGGCTCTTCCTCTGATAAACTGTTAGGCGCAGCGAGGCTGGTTGTAGGAAAAGACTATGAACAGGAAACGTTGTCCTGAATGAGATCCATCCAAACATCTATGAGGTCCAACGTTTCCAACCCGGACCGTCCTGGGATGCGCACGCTGCAGCCAGCCCTTTAAAGCAGGAAGTAGCTGTCCACTGGAAATAAAATAAAGAAATAAATACCAACCGACATGCATGCACATGTGCGGTTCTAGACAGGGGCCAACAGGGGCCAGTGCCTCCGTAGACTTCCTGGCCCCTATTATGGCCCCTGTAATGAAGACATAATACTCAAAGAAGTTCTAATGGTGATATGCGCTGGAATACACATGGTTACTGATAGGTCCTTTGGATCTGGTTCATTTTTTTTCTTTACAAATTCTTTTTTACTAATTATCTAAAAACAATAAGGTGATAGCTTCAGTGGTATTGAGATAGATCCCAGTTTTTATCTGCAAAATGTTTTTTTCAAAACAAATTGCTCTAATTGTTACGGCTGAATTTATCAGTTTTTCATGAGTTCTAATTCAGATTTGAGAGAAAACAGTAATTTTAACTTAAATTAAGTCAAAAATATGTAGAATTCCTAAATTATGAATGTATATTGTCCTAATAAGAGAGTAATTTTAATTATACCTAACTTCAGCTTATGCAGCTATGTTAATATACTTGAATTCCTTGCCGTGTTTTATATTTCAGGCTTTTCTGGGCCCCCATGAAAACACGCTGGCCCCCTCCTGGCCCCTGGAAGATTTGGTTTAGAACCGTCACTGTGCATGCAGATTTGTTTGTATATCTCTCAGTAGAAAGCATTCAACAGGTTGATCTCTGCTCCGCCTGTGGTCAGCACAGGTTAGATTAGAACAGGGGAATCATTTGGTGCTTTTTTTCATGAAATTTATTGAGTTAGAGGTAATGTTGTGATCTTTTACAACCGGATCTGGTGTGAATGGCACCTCCTCACGTCCCCTAACCGAATGCAAGTTCCATGTTGTTCAGAAAAGAACTAATCTACACAGAGAGAGAGGGAGAGAGGATTCTCCAGGTTCATTAGGCTGAGTCGCCTCACATCTGGACAGCTGAAAACTGTGGTTAATTATGCACATTAATATACTAACATTAAAGATAAGTACAGCATAGAAAGCAGAAATAGATTTAGTGTTTTATGGGGTAAAGAGAAAATGATGTGTTTCTGCATATAGGAGTTTTCAGTGAAATCATAGATAAATAACTACTTTAATAAAAACGTATTAAATAATCAATTTATGTAGATATTAGTACTTGTTAGGGTTGTCAAAAGTATCGATACTCAAAAAAGTATCGATACTGAAATGTTGTATCCGGATACAATACTCGTTTTTAAAAGTATCGAGTATCAAGTGCAGAA